TGCAACCGAAAACAGTGAGTTGTTCTCAAAAAATGGAAGTTGTATGAGTTAGATGCACTGTCTAGTTAAGCTTTCTATGGCATAAGCTATTTGTATAAATTCTTGGATTTCTTATTATATTTTCATTTGTTTATCTTCTTCTGTTTAGAGCTGCAACAGAAAACAGTGAGTTGTATGAATTTGTCTCAAAAAATGAAACTGGTATGAGTTGGATGCATTGTCTAGTTAAACTTTCTATGGCATAAGATATTCGTATAAATTCTTGGGCAAAGAAGTCCTGAGCATAACTACAGAATTTCCAGAACCTGGTATATTTCTGATTATGGTATATCTCAGGAATTGAGCTATTCAGCAACAACCTTGGGGACCTCTATTACCCAAGTAACGATATGGACCCATATCTGAAGGATAAGGATGTAAGTGAGGCTACTTCTCTATTCCAGTTTGACATTAAAGACTTGTTTGGCTTCTGAAGCAACGACACTGTTCTTTTAGGATGATGATTCTGAAGAGATCGAGGACCTGAACATAAAGCCAACTGATGCTGTTATAGTTTGTGCACGTCATGAGGATGATGTCAGTCATCTTGAGGTATGCAACAACTTGTTGAAGTCTCTCTCTCTCTCTCTCTCTCTTGTGTGCAAACATGACCCTAAATTCATGATATTGTTTTGGACAAACAGGTTTGGGTATTTGAGGAATCGGATGGGGGCGATTCAAACATGTATGTTCACCATGATATCATTGTCCCTGAGTTTCCATTGTGTACAGCATGGCTTGACTGTCCACTTAAAGGAGGGGAAAAAGGTTACACAACTTTTTATTTTTGGTTGTGTTAGTTCTCTTATTGTTTGTTAAGTTGCACTTATGTTCCACGTTTGAATTTTTCTTCGCTGTTATACAAAGAAGCTGAATAGTTTCAGGAGATCTTTATATGGGTCTGTAGCTACACTTGACTTTAGCTCTAGCAGGATACTTTTTTTAGATTATGGTAGCTAAATTAGAATTTTGGCTCAAAATGCATTGTCTTATTTTCAATGTCTGGACAGGGAATTTTGTAGCTGTTGGCTCAATGGAACCTTCTATTGAGATATGGGACCTTGACATTGTATGTGGATTATGGATATTGACATGATGACATTCTAAATTAATTTAGTTTGTGAATGATATAATTACTAATCAGAAGTTCTTTCTTTCTTTTTCTTTTCTTTACTGTTGCTGCTTTCAGATGGATGAAGTACAGCCATGTCTAGTATTAGGTGGCATCATTGAAAAAAAAAAGAAAAAGAAGAAGAAGAGGAAGAGCAAGGGAGAGGTCTGCTACTAAATTATTCCATTTTAAACAAGTTTTATAATTGTAGGAATAGAAGCCCTGTTATGTACTTTATGTGCCTCTCTGGATGTCTAATAAGTATGGTAGAATACTTCGAAGGTTCAAAATAAAATTTCTAGAAGAAGAGCAAGGGAGGGGTCTGCCACTAAATTTTTCCAGTTTAAATAAGTTTATAATGGTAGAGATAGAAGTCCTGATATGTATTTTATGTCCTCCTGATGTCTGCATGTGTAATAAGTATGGTAGAATACTTTAAAGGTTCAAAATAAAATTTTATAGTCATGGTTATGTCTTTAAGAGTGTGCTTTGGTTGAATTGCAATTCATGATTTTGGCTTCTTGTAAGCTGCTCCCCCTTTTTTTTGTAGATTTTCAATTTTGATTTCTGTAGCAACTAGAATATCTATTCTGCCTGCATGTTTAATTTTTAGGCAATTTTAGATGAGTTTACCTCATGAGGTTCCTATAAGTAGCGTAAGTATCTTTTATGAGCGAATCATGCAGGTGTTAAACATTTTTGTAAATACAATGGTAAAGCTGCATGGTTGAACATGTTGGACTAGACTCAGAGGTGATTAAAACCTGGGAAATTTTTGAAGTGTTGATATAAAACGGGGTATGAATGGCTTTTACAGAATAGAAAACTATGTATCTTCTGCAATCCCTTTTCAGAAAAATTAACTGATATAGCTAGAAATGGAATGAAGATCTGACGGAGATGGGAAGCAAGAGGGAAACGACATGGTATAACAATGAATTGGTTTTACAAAATACAAAATTATGTTTCTGCTGCTATCTTTACAGAAAGATTAACTGAAATAGCCAGAAGTAGAATGGAGGTGGGAGAAAGTAGAAGAGGGAAATTAGCCTAGTATAAAAATTATTTCCAGTGATCAATCCTTATGTAAATGTTTGGAATAATACTAGAAGTTACTAATTCTCATTACCGTATTATTCTTTGACTAATTTTTGTTAATATGTTCCTTCATGCACTTTCAGCATGCTCTCATCCAAGATAATATAACTTGTAGTGTGATCATTCAAATTATGAATCTAATGTCTCCTGCATGTGCTATATTTTCTAAAGCATTATAAATTTCCATGTTCTTCTTGTCTGGCTGCCCGTTTGTCCTCTTGGTTATTCTATGTGTCTGAGCTTGATTTATATGTTCTTTTTAATATTTTTACTTATCCTGGAATTTTCTTTACATTAGACATCAGTTAAGTACAAAGAAGGCAGCCATACAGGTCCAGTTCTTGGTCTTGCCTGGAACAAGGAGTACAGGTTTGTTCAGCTTTGTTTATTCCAACACTTTCTGGTCCTACCTATCTGCGATAGTAATTTGCATGCTTACTTCAAAACAGGAATATCCTCGCTAGTGCAAGTGCTGACAAACAGGTAAAAATTTGGGATGTGGCTGCTGGAAAATGTGATATTACCATGGAGCATCATACAGACAAGGTAAGATTTGAACTATAACTGCAGTACTATAATTTCTTCACGCTTGGATCCTGTGCAATTAAAGAGTCTTTTTTAATGCCAGTCATTTGGGTTCATAAAAGAAATGTGCTTAAAGATCTAGATGCTTGAAGTAATTTAAAAATAATTACATGTTTAGATAATGCTTCTTGAACATAAAGTACTTCCTGTATTTTGATAATAACAAATAAATAGGTAGATGAGAGTAAATAAATGGCTGAAGATCCCAATACATAAGAAGTTAAAGAAGCGCTTATATAAACTTTGTACTTATAGGTACTTGAAGATCCCAAAGAAGTAAATTTCAAGAGGGTGCTTAGAATAATAACTAGAGCAAATGACCTCCTACTTGTTAAAGAAGTGTGGTTCTTTTGTCTGCCTTGGCAGTGATTTTAAATTTATGAGTATTGTACTGCAAACCGGTTTTAGTATAGGCTTCTCCTATCAAGGACATAGTTGTTCCTGATCAATTAAATTTTACAGCCCTATTTTGGTGGTTATGGAATTACTTATGATATTTGAGGTAAACAGAGACAAAATTAAATTATATAACCTGTAATGTGGGAAATACCTGCTATTATTCATCTTCCATGGCCTTCAGTGTTTATATAGCAAGAAGTACTTGATTGAACTGGGAGAAATTCATTGAAACTCACATTTCAAGTTTGGCTGCTAGTGATTGTAAATTATACCTTCCATGGATCTGGAATGACTATCAATTCTGCTTAATAGGTTTGTCTTAATTTTCTACTTTTTGTTTTATATACTGCAGGTTCAGGCAGTGGCATGGAATCATCATGTGCCACAAGTCCTGGTTACTGGTTCTTTTGATCATACAGTAGTGA